ACGCCCCCCCCCCCCCCCGTCTGCTCCTCACACACTAATCGCACGGAAACTGTGAAGATGGCGGCAGGTCTCTGTCTGCCTGAATTGACTGATCCGTTTTCAAACTGTGCAGCAGCTCAGCCTATTAAGTGGGCCGCTCCAGCCAAACGACTTTAGCGTTTCCCAGGGAGCAACATTAGGCTCAGCAATTCCTGCCCGCTATTGTTTAGGGCCGCGCCGTGACAAAGTTAATTTCTTACCACACAAGCACAATACACAGATGCCAGCACGCACCAACAACAACAACAACGACAACAACGACGACGACGACCCAGGAGTGGAACCACAGTATCATCCAAACGGCTCAATTTTTTCCACTTTTTTTTTTTGCGTTTAGCGATACAACGCGAGGTGACCCCTGCCAAATGAGGTTCCTTCGCAGAGCCTGAGTAAATGGCTTTTTATGCTGAGCTACTGCTAAAGTAATAGAGCAATTTGATGTCAGCGCGCACACCACAATACAATTACTGCTTTTAATGGATTATGTTTCCAACATCGGAGAGCGGACGCTCGGAACGAAGCGCTTCTCGTTCAGACTTGAGAAGAGTCTTTATCTAAAGGATGTTTTCGCAAAGGGACGATACGTAGCACCTCACATGGAACACACACACACTGAAATAACTGAAAGCTTAAAATAGCTCCAACTTTTCCGAAATGTACCAAAAATATAGGTTCAATAAATTAGCCAACATATAACTGTAGACTTATATAATTTCAGAACTTACTGCAAAGCTAGCTCAAAGTTTACCAAGAAAACCTGGGCCACAAGGGGTTAAAGTCATATTGTCAAATTGCGTAAAATTTTGTTCGAAACTTAAGGTAATTCATTAATATAAAAAAATGCTATAGGATATTTTCCCAATAATACAGTTTTTTGTTAAAAAAATTGTTTCCGAGGACGTAGGGAAGAGAGTTAGCCCGTACGTAGAAACTTGATTCCGTAGTGTATCTTACACGTAGACTACGTCACTTACGTAAACTTAGAATTAACTTAACTTCTGTATTATTTTATTTTTTTTTGTATTTGTACTTTTCCATTTTTTTGCTTTTTTCGACTTGTATTCTTTCTTTAGCGGACACCACGTTCGTATATATCAACAATTTCCTGCTTTATTTTCACGGTCACCATGCGTTTCTTCTTCTCACCACCATCCTTACCACTCACTCTCTTAGGACTCATCACTATTATGAAGAATAACGCACAAATCACGTGCTCAGCTACCTAGCATTGCTGTCATAAACTGCAACAGCTCAACATCCCACTCAGCCTGGACACAGATGAGCTGAGGAGAAAACAGTGGTGAGAGCGATCAACATGGAGTAGAACTTCCAGGTTGGGTGCAAGAGAATCTGATGGAGCATTAACCATTGTCTAAGTGGAAGGGAAGGTCATGTGATCCATCATGTGATCCATCTGGTTCATTTTCAAGTGGTTGTCAAGGATCTGACAGAGTTCCTGGACATTTGGGACATAACCAGACTGAAGCTTGGACCAAATGGGAACATCTGAAGGACAATGATGAGGATAATTAGGATTACACCAGGAAGTTACACTCAGTGTAGTATTTTATGGGCTAAAGGCCGCAGTGTGAGAGGATTGGGCCAGCAGTGATCTCAGCAGACTCACCATTAAGAGTGACCTCAAAGGCTCCAGTGGACAGGAAGTGTGTCTCCAGCATGTTACCAAGGAAGAATGTGATGAGACAGGAAAAGATCTGAAGAAGAATAAGAAAAAAATAATGCTTGAGAGTTTGATGTGATTTCTTTGTTTTTAATATGATTTTTAAGGCCTTGAGAGTCTACAAAGATCTGACTCTGTAGACAGGAAAACACTTGTGTGATTTACTTCTTTACTTTTGCCTTAGAGTTTCCATAATGAACATGGTCACTGCAGCCCAGGATACATGAACAATACCCACTCCCAATCTGGTCAAATCACATCCTTCTTTACAGTCTATCCATCCATCCATCCATCCATTTTCAACCGCTTATCCGTTACCGGGTCGCGGGGGCAGCAGTCGCCACCCAAATCACATTGCACCGTACCAAACCTTCCTGCGGGTGGTGAGTCCACTGGAAGGTACCAACCGCCCTAACCGGGATTTGAACTTGCCCAGGAGGTGAACCCTGGGGTTCCACACCAATGACAGAGACATTGCCTCTGGGCCAAAGCGCCACACGTGTAGGCCTGTTGTCAAACAAAATATATACAGCAAATTTAACCGTTGAATATAATGCTTTAGCAGCCTGCTCAAATGCCACCTGTTAAACCGGAGTAGAGTTTCATGGGGGTTTTTTTTTCCACGTTTTTTTCACCTCCACTGCCCTTAGTCGGGGTTGAGCTGCCCTGTCTGTTAGTCTGGAAGCCCTATACGACTGCAGTGCACCAACCTGTGCTGCTGTGGCCTGTTTAGGCAGGATGATGGAGGCTGGGTCTGCCAGCCCAGATAAAGTTCTCTGTGTCCTCTCGGCAGCACGGCAGGTTTCATGTTTGCTGCAGGTGTAGAGAAAATGTTCCAAAAGTCGTTAAACATTAGAGCTGCTGGTGACATGGAGGCGGCACTGATGGGAAGGAGCAGATGATGGTGGGAAATGACTTGGACGGAGGGACAAGACGTGGCACAGGGGGGAAAAAGCCGAAAGTCAGATGAGGCTGGCCAACAAATGGGTCACAAACCGAGTTTCCAGAAAAGTTGGCATGGTTCCTAATTTGTATAAAAACATAACATCTGCAAACGGGTAACATTCGTAGCTTTTGCACCCAAACATCCAGTAAAGAATCCAAGTAAAGAACTTGGTCCTTTTGCAACCTCAGTATCTGAAACAATGTTCAGGGTGAGATGCCAAGATTTGAAGTCGATTCTTAAAAAGTCGATTCTGAAGAAAAAAAAAAAAGGTATGAACCAGCAGTTTCAGGATCAAGTAAATTAAGAAAGTCTTATTTGAGCCCACAGGGATTACCTCTTCGTCTGAGTCACAGTCTGAGTTCAGTCACTAAAGTTGCAAGACAGTTACATACAGAGGGGATAGTGATGGTACGTTCAAAGATGATTTTAAATAATATTTTCAAAGCATTTTTTTTTTTTGAATAACATGTCCTAAGCTTTTTGTTTTTTTTTTTTTGAATAACACGTCCTAAGCTTTTATCAAAAATTGAAAACCTCAAGAAAGCACTCGACCACAGATTCTCAAAGCAAATCCTGTGTTGCCGTTCCGGCTTTCTCTTCAGACAGGTTTGGTTTCACTTTGATACACAAAATACATGCTGCTTGTTATTCATGCCAAATGTTGAAAACCACTACTGCCTTTAGCAGGTTGTCAGACTGTCTTCAACATGTACTTAGTGTTTTTCCACGCTGTTGCAAATTATGTTGTAAAGAGAGGCAACTATTGTGTATCCAATTATCCCTCCTTGTATTCAATCTCCCAGCACCTGGAAACAGTACGGCTGCTGAATTTTTAGCCTAACAAGGTTTTCCCCCTGGTGACAGTTACGGAGCAGCAGCAGCAGCAGCAACAGCAGCAACAACAAGCGTCATTACTGTGTGGTTACCAAAGACTGGTTGCTTTCCTGTCATTTCCCTGCGATCGTTTTTGTCACGATGCTTGGTATACACGTGAAGGGTTATAATGATATTTGTTTTAAAACGTGTCTATTAGACTATTTAGATTTTCATGTTTCCAACAGAGGCTAACGTTTCAAAATAACCTATTATGGTCTTTTTTTTAGCTAACTGTTAGCCGTCCGTTAGCTTTTTCTTTATTTTGTTACCATTTAAGAATGCTTTTTTTTTTGGGTAAAAATAGTACCTATGTTTTAGTACACCTCACTAAAGGAGTATTTATATTGTCACCTGTGTATCGGTTCTGACTTTTAGCTTCAAGAAGAGTATCCGGACAGTTCGCAAGTACATTATTGGGCCACGTTCCGAGACAAACAACCACACTGGCATACACATTTGGTCAGTTTAGTATCAACCATTAAACTAATCCCCAATCTGCATGGTTTAGATGGTGGGAGGAAACCAGAGAGCCCGTAAAAACCTGTACACACACGGGAAGACGGTGTGGGACCACCAAGGCTCAAAACGATGATCTTCACGCTGTAAAGCAAGACCATTAAACACCATTCTGGCATATGTCCTGTTTTGAGAATTTTTTTTTTTAAATGTATTATATTAAACCCAATCCTCAATCTAGTTCCTGTGTTAATGGATGAACTTCTTTATACTCAGACTACCGTACAATCCCATTTTAAGCCAGGGTTAAACAGTGGCCAATAACACTTTTCGACAGAGAGACTGGACACCAGACCACCTGGTCCTGCCAGACTTTCAGCCTATTTTTATCTACTTACCAAGGACTATTATTTACACCACAACTGCTCAGTGGCTGGAGGCAGGTCCCAGAGGAAGGAGGAAGACCCCTGTGAAGAAAAAAAAAAAGAGAAAACTGTGTCACTGTGATAACCTACTGTCTTCTATTCATGACCGAGGAAGGTCACTGACCCCCAATGTAGATGTGACAAAACTATTTAGGTTACACTGTGTAAAAGTAAAGTAGTGTAATTTGTTGTGACTAATGGTGCTAGTGGAGGCTGGGTGGTTAAGGAAGCGGACTTGGGTCCGGAAGGTTTAAGGTTCGATCCCAGCTGGGTGGTTAAGGAAGCGGAGAGCATGGCATCGTCCCCACCCACTGCTCTCCTGCTCACTTTGGTGACGGGTGAAATACAGAGGTCACATTTCGTTGTTATGAAAAATACATATTAAAGTATTAAATGCCCAGTATTTGTAATGTGTGTGTTTAAATGGGTTAAAAAAAAAAATCACACAGTATTGATATCGATATCGGAAGAAATGGTGTCGAATCAAAAATTCTGGGGATATCAAAACCGAAACAGTTAGCAGGTGAAGACAGGTGTAAAATCCAACAGAAAGCTCATGATCTAACCGGTGATGTAGTCAGAGATAATAAAACTTAAAGCTCACAGTTTTGACAGGGACGTACGAGAGGAGAGAAAAAAAAGATCAGATTATGAACAGAAGTAAACACAGCAGGAAATGATGAATATCTCACAACTAGCTCTCTGCTATGTGATAGATTAAAAAAAAACATGAACACATTCCAGACACTTGAGAAAAGGGTGATATTATGTCTGAGAAATGCAGCTTCCCAAGCGTTTTGATAAACATTTGTCATGTACATAAAGCTCTTTTTCTTCGATAGCGGCAGGGTAGTTATGAAAACTCAGACCCAGCACTGTATAAAACAAACCGGCTGCTGCTTTTTATGTGACTGACATTCAATAATATCTAATCCGTCATTATGAAGGTGATAAAGAGACAGAAAGAATCACGTGATCGTTCATTTAAAAGCCACCGCTGCTTGTGTGCCGTGTGAAAATCCTCTCAGACATACCAACAGTCACTTGAGGGCAGTTGCACCGTTCTCGGGTTGCATTACTGGCCGCTGTCGCAGACAGAGTGGCTGTGAACAGGAGACCAAACTTATGACGGTAAATAAGCAGGAGTTTTAGAGGAAGTTATTGTTGAAATTGAATTTTTCCAAAAAGTATGTCAGAACTTTTTTTAAAGCTCTGGTTCCAGTCCTGTCCCAATGCAAGTCTGGACTGGAGAAAGGTCCGAGTGCAGTGTAAGGCAGGGGTTCCCAAAATGTTCCATATCAAAGTCCCTCAAATAGCATTAGCTTTTGGCTTTGACAAACCTACAGGAGAATGCAACAAAATCCGTAAAGAAACATAACGTTTTATGAATGCATTTCCTCACTTTTATTACGCTCCTTTGGCCTATTTCTTGTCGCTAATTATCTATAAGCTAGCCCGAGAAGCAGAGCAGCTTAATAACAGGCACGAACCACCGGGTCTACACTGATTATGATGTTGTCATGACAACAGTGCAGCTGTTAACCCGGGGTGCGTTCAGGTACCATCAGAAACTTACTGACGATCACAGATGTGTACGTGTTGTACGGTTCAGGATTGTTATTAAAAGTAGGGTGACGTATCATTTGAAATGGAGCCGTTTGGTCTCATATGACCTTATATGGAACAGCAGTCTTCTCTGGTCTACTTTTGTTGGGGGTAGAGGGGGGATTTTTTGGAAAAACACAAAAATGTGCACCCCCGCCCATGTCAGATATAGTTCGTTAAACACTAATACTGAAAAATAAGGATACTCTTGATCGTAAGCTGGAGCAATTGTAAGTGCTTCAATTTTAATAGAGTAGATCTTCAATAAAGTTCCTTCTTAAAAAAAAAAAAAGAAAAAAAAAACAAGAGGAGAAAAGTCCTGGTCTGAAAATACAATAATTGGCAATTACTATTTCAGAAAAAAAAAAACTGCTGCTGTCAAAAGAGAGAAGGAGAAGAAGAAGAAGAAAACTCCACAGACATTCTAACAAGGTGCTTATTGAACCAAAAACTGACTTCTTTTTAACTGGGTAATTTTCAGCTGTCATGCTGTCCACGAGCTATACAGTATAATCATGGAGAGATGTCACATATCACAACAAGCACAAACCAAAAATAAAATTCAAAGAACTTTTTTAAAAGGAGAAACAGCGTATCAGGAGGACTCCCACACTAACTGATGCTGTTTGGTGAATTAGTTTTTATGAAACGATTTTACGAGGCGTATTAGTACATTTTTGCCAGTTTTAGTTGATGTTTATTTAGCCAATTATACTTTCACAGCTGTTATTTTCTCTGCAGCTTCACAGAGGAAAAAAAAACCAGAGCTTAGTACTGAGCCTGGGAAACAGGTGGAGCTAAGTGGTGCTAATTCATTGAGTCTGTTCCCTCAGTGTATTTGTGTGTGTGAGTGAGTGTGTGTGGAGACGAGGACAACACATCAATAAAGACAGACTGAGAGAGGCTGACCTTTTCTCTGATGGAGCTCAAAGTAGTTCTAATAATATCTGAGTCTGGAGAAGCCTAAAAATATGAAGAGTCTTCCTTAGAAGTCCCGGTGAATTTGTTAACCCGGGGCTGCATCTAAGAGATGTTTTGTTGTTATTATGAGTTGCCAACATGAGCAAAAGACACAGTTGTCTAAAATTAACCAAAGAAACGCTGTCAAACTGTCCAAATGTATTGATGTGAATGAGCTTCTGATTCTCTTCGTTCTCTACATTTGTTTTAAACACTCGACAAAGAAGGCAGTTGCCAGAAGTGTGATCGAGTTACTGACTGGACTATATTAAATGTAGTTCATCAAATGTTGAACACGTGTGTAGGATCTTTCAGTCTATGACAGTGCACTAAGAAATTCATGACTATATATATATATATGACTATATATATTTTGGTTTAATATTTTTGAAATATCGTAATGCCGCATGGAAAACAACTCACGCTGAACCTAAACAATGTTTTTAACCCCAGCTTCTCTATCGCCTATCTGACCTCTCTTAGGTATCAGATCGGACGGGCGATAGTTGTACCACTATTGGACCGATACCAATCCTGAGTATCAGAGTGAGCTAGCCCAAGGATACCAATCCTGAGTATCAGATTGAGCTAGCCCAAAAATATTGCAGAACTGACACCATTTTGAAAGGAGGAATGATCCAAAATGTTACTAACGTCTAGGTCTGATCTGCAACTAGAGGAACGTTGAGTTGAGGTTATTGCTGTCAAGGGAGGGTCAAGCAGTTATTAAATCCAAAGGTTTACATACATGAAGCTTTCAATAAAAAAAAACATAGTTGTTTGAGAAATAATAGTTTAAGCCGTCTGTGTTTGTCTATCGTCGCGTCACAGATACAGATCAGAACATATTTTGTGACCAATGTACACAGAAATCCAGGTGATTGCAAGGCGGTTCATTTCATTTCTTGCAGCTGTATATGTAGTAACACAAGACTGATTTTCCTGAGAGAATTCATAAAATCTGTTAACGTCTCTCTTACCTAAGGACAAATATGTGTTCTAATTCTGGAATAAATTAGCGTGATCTTCCTACAGAACCTAAAGGATTACAAGAGCTTAAAGGTTTGTAAAGTTTAATTTCCATAACGGAAAAACACACTGGCATGTTTTACATGTTTAATAGTGGGACAAAATCGTGTTAATTGAATTATTTAATAACCATAAAATACAAAATAATTTTCATTTGCAACTGATGAAACCTACAATTTTAAAATTGACAAGAATTTTTTTTATCTGTGCGTAAAAAAACGGTCCACAAAAATTGACAAGAATTTTTTTTATCTGTTGCGTAAAAAACGTCTGATCCGCAGGAAAACGATCCTCTCCGTTACATAGCGGCAGTCACACGGGGTTGACGACAGATCAAATTGCTGCTCTCGGTAATAGCTACTGAGAGGTTGACCAAAAAAACCTCTGCCAACTATGTCCTACTGTGCGTGTGCCTGTATCTGTGTGTACGCGATGCTCTACTTAGAACGGAATAACGGAAGTTTGAACAAATATTACATAAAAAAAACTAGCACCTTCAAAGATCAACTCGATCAATTCGACGATGTTATATCCCATGTATGTCCCATAAAACGGTCCACAGGACAGGTCTAATGTCCACATGTGGTTTGGGTTTTTGCTAAGATGTTTAATGCTTCTGTGTCTGCACACCTCATTACTGCATCTGAAATAGGCCATATTCTATTTTTTTTAACTGTGTCTGTAACCTTGACATATATTTAAAATCACATTTGTCCTGACATTTCTATTTTTTAAACAAACTTGCTTCACTCCTTAAAGGTTGTCAATATGGTTCAATATGTAGCCTTTGACTCAATGGTTTAAAACCATTAACTCACCCCAGCCCCTCACAGCTATTCAATGACTGACCACTTCTGGTCAGACAATAGAAAACGGTCCTGTTCCCATGAGAATCAATACCACAACCTTGTCCAATCAGACAACAGGTCATTCGGATTAGACCCTTGGCCTCCCCACAAACCAATATAATGCATTTAAGCTCGTGCTTGAACCATACTCAGAAGTTCAAAGGATAGTCCTGGTGAGTAAATCAAAGTGTTCCTCAAATTTCATCCCACAAATGTCATACTGTACGATCTGGCCAGCACTAAAAGCCTGCAGTTCAGGACACATGATTTCTTGCAAGGGATAGGGAGAACAAACAGTGCTGCCAGCAACTCACAAACTCACAGTCAATGCAGTTTTGAAATCGAAAGCAATTATGTTCTCTCTCCTCTGATCCACAAGGACAACGTTTTCTGACTGAATTGAAAAACCTTTCAACTACACAGGCGAAAAGCATTCTGAAGAAATACATCAGTTGGTAATAGGGACGCAAGTACCCGAAGGTTTAGACATCCTTCATAAATTGGAGCCACAATCTCAAATATTAGATCTTATTTGCCATTTACAGTACCTATTGATGTTTGCCATGTACAACCGACGCTCCATTCTCTTCACCTTGGCCT